CCCAACCTCAGTGGCGCAGGCCTCGTGTTGTGCAAATAATGACTAGATGTGTGTGTCGGGCCAGCACTCGGGGTTCAGGGCTGTCTTTTTGTGTTTTGTTTAAAGGGGGGCTTGCCAACTAGTAACCCTTGTGAACTATGTCTAGCATAAGCCTGACAGCTGGCGGTTTTCTACAAAGGCTGGGTGTCATCTCTATCTCCGACGGATCAGGGAAGTAAATTGTAAAACTGATTTCCACACGTCCCCATGAAGAATATGCCTTTTACTGTAGGCTTACATATACAGTATGTTTTATTAGAAAAGGGTGTTGGTGAGGAGAGACAGAGAAATAGTGAAAAAAGATCAAGTTTGAGAGAGAAATGCCAGACTACTATATAAAAAAGAAGCAGGAAAGCTTGTACATATTGCATGTTTCCGTTTGGTTCCATCTCCCAGGGCCACTGTGGTTGCTTCCTGATGTGGTTTCCATTATTTATCCAGCATCTATTGGACATTATTGGAGCCTACCCTAAGCTCTGCTGCCATATTGGCAGAGGGACAATGGAGAGAGCAACGACAACAGAATGGAAAAGGAAGAATCTGTAGGGAAAGTTCTCATTCAGTCGGACTAAATCTCTATTTGCACATTTGCACTGTTAGACATTCATGAAAAAGCTGGATCCATTGAAGTCTGACACTGTCATTTGTTAACGCTCAACACTACCTGTATGTAACCCATCTGAAAACACACCTTGTTTATTTAGCTGCTGTTCGATTGTTGACAGTGAAATCTAGTTAAATTGCACAAAGAGCAGCAGTTGCCTGAGCAGCAAAGAACATGTACCAAATGTTATCAATTTCCTCTGCCACGGCTCACACACAATACGGGATGTACATGGGATTACTCACCTGCCAAAACCAAACAATGGCTAATGTATCTCCGGTTCAAATTACATTTACCATAGGGTGTCATCTCTAAGCTGTTTAATGCATTGTGGGACGAAGGGCTTTAATCAGCGAGGCTCAGTGGAGCCAACGGATTAAATCACTTTTTATCTGCGCTTCCTTTGACTTTCCCAGTGCTCAGGGTTGGAGTGTAAATCATAATGGGTCCCTGTTGGGCTCACTTCACTATGCTTTATTGCTGTAGTCACATTTCATAAATTCTATTTATTTTGTGTATTGAGTAAATTCACATGCACTGAAAATAAGGATAAGTTGATGATGTCTCAAAAAGGCGTCCATTGTGTCTACATGGGTGTTTAAGTCTATATGTGTCTATCCTATGTTATTTTGTATACATTTAAATAAGGAATGTGTTTGTGCATGTGAATATATGTCGATATACACACCTATTTGTCCTATGGCATACAGGCTATATCCATGTAGCATGTGAACGACTTTGTATCTGTGTGCGGGCGTATGCACGCTCACAGCCCGCAACAGAGACGGGGAGAGCGGCTGCCGCATTGCACAGAATAGCTAAACAGCTGTAGTGCTCCATCAGGGCTATCGATCATGTCCCTCTCTCTGAATCACAATCAGCCGTGGGCAGAGTGGAGAGGCTGGAGCAGGCCTCGGTGACTCGCTTGTTGGACGAAAGCTACGCACGTCTCCTATCAACCAGGCCTCGCCAAACAAACATGACCTGGAGAGCTTATTAGACACATTTATATACAAGTGCTGTAGTTCTTGTTTCTGTATAACTTGCTGGAACACACAGACAAGTATTTCATTAAATTCCTGGCGAGCATTGCCTTTTTTACAATGACATCTTTTATTGCTTTAACTACTTTTGTGAGGTTTAACGCACTAATTACTTATGGTACACTGATAAACGATGTCTACAAGTATTGATATAACATCTTACATTCTGTACATGGTGACACTTAGTAGCAGTCACATTAATCAAAAGTGCATTACACGATATATTGCATCTAAACAAAACATGTAACCACTAGAATATTAGGCCTGATTTCATTAAAATATAACAGTAAGAATAGGGAAGCTATTTAAGTATCATTAGCAGCCATCTGCCATCATCCCACACTCTGTACTGTAGATCAACTCAACATATCATGTAATCACAAGGAAGTTGGATGTTATTACATTACAATTTAAACAGGAAGTGTATGGAATCTGTCTATGGCGCCATTAACTGCCATCTGCTACTGTAGCATCTCCAGTCCTCTGCTGCCATATCCGCAACTTATCGTTGACTTCCTGCCAACATGGCTGCTTCCTTTCCGATTATTTTCCCATGGTCAGTTGAATTGAACGAATGACCTGTCACCTGACATCCAGATATTTACTTCCTGGTTTTGGACAGCAACATTATAACTCAATATCCTTTTGCATTGCCCCTGGACACACCTGATATAGGAGGGCAAACTATAACGACACCAACCCCCATCACAAACACACACATACACACATATGTCTTGACATGGTGTGATTGAGTAGCTAAGCAGGAAATGCAGAGGCTTGTCAGATAGATATGGGCTCAGAGGATTGGAGAGCAAGCTTGGTACATCAAGAAGAGTGTGTGTATACGTGTGTATGCCTGCTGAGTGTTGTGTAACTTTGTGTGTGTTTATGTGGAGTATGTTACCAACGATAAATGGTGGGAAAAAAAGTGATCTTATTAGCATTATATGGATGTTGACATTCCATTCAGGTCAAAGTTAGTGTTGCATGACTATATTTGTGCTCATGCAGTTGTGCATGTGGGTGTGTATGTGTCAAGGCTCAGGCTGTGTATAGTAGTCATGGCTGTCACACAAGCATACGCATGCACGTGCACACACACGCTCCTGCTGTGTGTGGCGAGGGCCCCTGGGAGGGTGCTGCTGAACTGTCAAAGCAGGATGGATGAAGAAGCTGCCCTGCATAGCAAGGGGCTCTGGGGAAATACCACCAACACACACACACACACACACACACACACACACACACACACACACACACACACACACACACACACACACACACACACACACACACACACACCACACACACACACACACACACACCACACACCACACACACACACACACACACACACACACACCACACACACACACACACACACACACACACACACACACACACAAGATAGTGTGTATACAGTCAGCACACAAATATACTACGTGCATACTCCCACTTTAAAATGCATAAATCCTAATATGCACGCATGAATCAGAAAATAAACACATGTCCGCATATCTCCATCTACAAAGGGCTACTCGCTGGATGCTAGAAACAGCCCTGGGGTCCTCTGCAGAGCAACATCTGAGTCTGATAACAGAGGAATGTCCAGAGATCTCCATTTAGCAGACAGCAACTCATCATGTCATAAATTCGGCAAAAAAGCTCACTACAGCAACGCCCAAACTCTTGTAAATGGAAAACCACGGTAAAAGCATTAAAGGAATGACAGAGTGGGCCTTACTCTATCAGTATGCACCATTAAAATATCTGAGGGAGAAGATTTTAGAATTCTAACCTTATTAATACATGTACCCTTCAAGAATAACTATTTTTATAAGAGGAGTAAAGTGAGTAGATGTCATTTATTGTAACTTAAATTACAAAATGATAACCTAGTTGTAACTAACCGAGAAATTAATTATCTTACAAATCACCCCAAATTAAACATGGCAAGAAATGAACAATACAAACTTTTTGTGTGTATGTTCAGGTACATGTATACACAAAAGTTAAAGATGTCATGGACCTTTTAGGAGGGATTGCAGCAGTGTAGGACAGAGCAGACCTTGTAAACTTAACTATTCCTGATTCAACAAAATATTTCCTCGATCAGGGCCGTAAATCTTCATGCTTGGCACAAGTCTGAACAATCCATTAACAATAATAAAGCCTGCGCGGCCAGAAGATAGACCCTTAAAGGGGAAGGTCAGCCTGATATTACAGCTTTAAAGGTTTCCTCTTACGGCTCAACTTCAATATAACCACTCACCTTGCCTTTAATGGCTGCTGGCTATGCAGTATAGTTCAGCATATATGGAGATTCTAAATCTAGTCTCTCTGGGATATTACTGTATATTGGAGAGCAATTTATGGGTCTGTTTCTGACCCGCTGTTTGGAGGAGTGAGTATTGTTAATAGAATAGCAACAGGGGTGGTGGAGATCTCGTCGGTTTGGCTCTGTCTGTCCCCCACGTCCTGCTGGGGCCCATGGGAGGCTTCCAGAAGCGCTACCACTGGCCCCGAAAGTGCTTAGCCAGCATAGTTTTCATTCATCCTGGCCTTTCCTTCTGACTCTTTGTTTCATATCTTTATTCTCCTTTCCACCTTGCTTTTCTTTTTGCTAGCCCCTCTTGACATCCTTACTCCCTTAGGAAATGCTCTGTTCCCAACATCCAATTTCTCATTGTTTTAGACTTTTGGGACAATGATGTCACTTTGAGCCCTGTATAAAAAAGAAAGAATTTTCCAACACCTTGTCCCGACATCTGTCTTCATTTTGTGAAATGTTTCCGTCGCCCTGTTTCCCCTGCCTGTTTTTCTCCTTGGCCAGCTTGTTCCACTGTCTAGGGTGACTTCAGCAAAGAAAGATAGGAAGGAGAGAAGACACAGCAACAGAGAGAAGGAGCAGTAGAGGAAAGAGGGGAGAGTGCAAGCTCTTAAGTAGATTGCAAAGAACAGCACAGAGGCATGAGTGTGAATATTAAAAGGGTTTTCTCCTTCCCAAGAAGTTTCAGTCTGCAGCAGCACCAGCACCAACAGCGAAGGAAAGAGAAGGTGACAGAATAAGAGAGACTGAGAGAGAGGAAGAGGCTTACAGAGCCGTCAGCTATTCAGCCATAGCAGAGACAGCTAGCTTCAGGTGTCAGAATCAACGCTGTACACAATCTATCAAGCTGTCCGGCAGATCTCAGATGAGAAATTACCATAATTGAATAAGAAGTTTCTTTCATTGCAAAGGTGATCATTTCCCCAGATGGAAATGAAAGGGGTGATAAGAGAACAATGTAAAGCAAAAAGAGGGGGAGACTCACCTGGAATGCCTGGTGGGGTTTTCAGGTATTTCCCATTGAAATGCTGTATCACAACCTCACATTTCTCTGTGGACTCCATCCTGCAACAAAACAGAAATATAGGGTTTGATTTGAAAAGAATAGCCACTATCCATTTGTAGCAAAGGTCGACAGTCCTTCCTAGGAAATACAATTATTTTACATTAAATGATGGCACGATTATAAATGGCTTGTGGTACTGTACATTAAGAGTTTTTTTTAAAGCAAAATAAGAATAAACGGTTACTTTCACGGTTACCACCCAGATAAAGTTGACCTCTCAAGTGCACCACGGTACTTTTTGTAAAGCAACATATTTTAAGGATCACATCACTCCAGTGCTGAGATCGCTGCATTGGCTTCCAGTAAGTGAGAGAATTGATTTTAAGATTTTATTGCACACATATAAAAGCACTAAACGGGCTAGGACCCAAATATATCAAGGACCTCCTTCAGTGGTACGAACCCAGCAGACCCCTTCAGGTGTTCAGGCGCAGGCCAGCTCACTGTTCCATTTGTGAGATCAAAGCGTGGGAAAGCAGCCTTCTGCAGCTATGCTCCTAATGCATGGAACAAACTCCCAGAGCATCTGAGAATGGCTAGCACTTTTGAATCATTTAAATCAGGTCTAAAAACATTTATTTTTAAAATTTTAATTTTCGAATTTTCAAACTGTTAAACATGGTTTTCTTTCTTTTAATTATTTTGTGTGTTTTTGTATTTCTTCTCACTTTGACCATCGTAAAAATGTATTGTGTTTTATCTGTTTGATCCTGTAAAGCACTTTGAATTGCATCACTGTATGAATTGTGCTATACAAATAAATTGCCTTGCCTTACGGTGAGTCCATTGAGAGCAGTGCTGTGGTTGTCATCAACTCAACATTGCTAGTTTCCATTTTGAACTGAAACTCTTCACACATGGAGCAACAGGCTTAATTATTTCCGGATTTTGAGAGAGAGAGAGAGAGAGAGAGAGAGAGAGAGAGAGAGAGAGAGAGAGAGAGAGAGAGAGAGAGAGAGAGAGAGAGAGAGAGAGATAGAGAGAGAGAGAGAGAGAGAGAGAGAGAGAGAGAGAGAGAAAACACAGGAAGCTAACCGACTAAGCTCTTCCTTTTCCAGCAATTGGATCAAAAGTCTGTGGGGCGAGCAGCCGACCAGCAGGAGGGCTCTGATCTCTCACATCATAAGCACAGAGACTCTAACACCCATACAAACTCTTACATATCAAACACATCATTTTATTTCAAAAGTATACAATGTTGACATGCACCCACACATCAGTTATTACAATTCATACCAACATGAATGTTACCATGGTATGTTGCCATGCAGGTATTTGATAAACTCACAAAATAACTCATTAAAATGAGTGTGTTTTTAAGTGCAGGATTGAGTGATTGCTGTTCCTATGCTTATGGTAATATGCTCTTAGAATTTTCAGAATGCATTGCTTTCCAGATTGTCATGCTTTATGCGGTCTCACCTCCAAGAACACTCATGTGATCCTGTCAGCCTCTCACTTCTCTGTCCTCTTTCTCGCTCATCCGTCTCCCATCTCTCGTTTCTTACTTCTTTTTTTTTTAACATAGCTTCTTTATCGCTCTCTCTGTCCCATCCATCTTACTCCCGACCCGTCTGCACCTCTTCTTTTTGACGTCTCTCTCATTCCTGCCGGTCTTTCAACCTTGGTTTTTCCTCCATCTTTCACCGTTACCCTATCTCTCTTCCGCCTCATCTCTTTCCCTTTCCGTGCCCTCCTTTTCTTCATTCTTTGTGCATCCTAACCACATCAACACCATTCTTCCTTTTCCTCTCCTTGATTCTCTTTTTAGAATATGTAATTTTTCACAATTTCTTGCACCCTTTTTCCCCATCTCTCTTTCTTTCCTCTGTCCACTCTTATACTTGGGAAGACTGAGCTGGTGTGACTCAGCTGATCACTCAACAGGCCCTAAACACATGCACTGAACAAGTCCAAATCAACACTGGCATCCAACAAATGTAATACAAACATGCATTATATACAGTAAGAGCTGGGTATGGTTTGACATGTTTTACATTATATTTGTTATGTCAATTTTGATTTAACAAAAGAGACCAGACTTCTCCAATGAAATGTGTATACACAAGAAGCCATACATGGATTGTTTCCAAATTCAATTGTTAACATTATCATTTAAATGATATTTGATCAAAGAATAAGAAAATAAACTGGATAAAGTACACATTCAAGTAAGCCTTCCATATTTCCATCACTACCAAAAAAAGCATTTGGGTTTGATATCCAGCTCTGAATATTTGATTCTGTGCCCAGAGTGAAACAGTTTGTGAAAAACATGTATTCACAGATAAAAATATAATATAGTAAAAAGAGATGAAAATTCCCCAAAAATTCAAACATCATTTTCACTAAAGCCTAACTACTTATTGTGAATTATATATTTGTGTACTCCTTTATCAAAATTGAAAAAGAGTTTCAAGAGATTCTCAGACTGGAAGTGTTGATGCTCAGCTTCCCTCGCTATTCTCCAGCGCCCTTTACCCATCCTCCTCACATCCCCTCTGGCTTTTCATTGTTTGTGTCCTGATCAACACTCTTTTAAGAAAGGTAGGTAGACAGAAAACAGGTGGGTAGACGAGGAGTAAATAAGGCAGACGGGCTGTTAGTCAGTCGCAGGGAAACAAGCCGGTCAGCCAGGCTGTCGAGCGACTTTCGGGGAAGCCATTCAGTGAGCCAGGTAGGCGTTGAGGCAGGCTGGCTCTTTGTGTGCTGCTGGTTAATGGCATCAGGTGCTGCTGTCTGCAATGATTAGCGCTGGAGCTGGAGTAATGGGCTCTGATAACAGTAATGGATCGGCCCACAAACACTAAGCTCAGTTTACTTTCTCTAATGCCCCTCGTGGCCCAACCCTCAGCAGCTATCTGTCTGTCTGTTGACACAGCTAACAGGAACTACAATTCATAAAACACATCCATGAATCTTTTTAAGCTTCTTCTTCTTATTTGTTTTAATCAATTACACAATCTTTTTTTCCTTTCTCCCCTAACCAAGTAACCAGTCATTCAGATTCACTCTTAGACACCCACATTCACTTGTTTAAATTACTTTTCCTCAACCTTTCTCCATCTCACACTGCCGTCTCCTTCCCATCACCTTCACTTTTTCTTTTATAATAACCTCTATGATAAGTTATTTTCACCGGGCCATTGTTTCACACTCCTGTCCCTCTCTCTCCTGCCGCCTCACTCTCCCATTTCCATCATGTCTGTTCCCCGCAGAGGGCTGCTGGAACAGGTGGCCTGTGGCAGGTTGTTGCTGTGCTCTGCTTGTTGGTCCACAGGAGGCTGCCTACCGGTCTGTGTGCATAAGTGTGAGTCTGCACACTAATATGTGTGGTGGACATGAGCACACGTCAATGCATGTGTGCCTATTATGCACATTTGTACAGGCATGTCTGTGCACGTGCTCATATGTGTGCCTAAGTGCCTGTTTGTGTGTGTTTGTGCTCGTCTGTCCTGCTGTAACCCTCAGTAATAGAGCAGGGAATAGGAGAGGAGTTCAGCGTGAGCAGGTGATTAAGAAAAATCCCTGCAAGATGGCGGCTCTGCGGCCGTCAGTGGCCTCCTCTGGGTAAACAAGGGAGGATATGGAGAGCAATGAGAGCCTGGTGGCTGCTGGCGAGGACAAGGACAGAGTGGTTTATGACTTTGGGGGATTAACAAGCTGAAGTGGAAACTTTTCTAAGTAGAAAAAGTAGAAAAAGAATATAGCAGGTCTGACTATAATAAGGACAAAGGGTTAATTGAAGGTATACATGAATGAGTAAGAATGTAGATGACCAAGCATTAATACATTCTCTTGCACTATTGTATTTGTTTTATTTGTTTATGTCCTACATATATTCATGTTGGACTGTAGTAGGAGCCTGTGGCTTAAGTTTTTCATTGCCATATCTACACTGTAGCTACTGTGCACATGACAATAAAGCCTTGAATCAATAAGTAGATCATTTCAATGTCTATTCTATTATAAGACTATAATGCAAAGGCATGAACAAAGAGGAACTCATCCAGTGGCAGACACACTGTCAAACAGGCTTGGCAAACAAATCACCTTTTAAGTTTCCACTTCCTGGAGACGGGATCATCTGATTAGTGTCTTTTTAGAGTGATGAATACGCACACAAATGCATTTTAACGTCTGTGTTTTGGTTAATTTGTGTGCATTTGCTGATGATTCATTGTTAGTGATGTAACATTCAAAATATGAATTGGAATTTAAGAGGGAAACCTTAATTAAGAACATATTTCCCGATGCATTGGCTATAGAGCAGTTCCACACTTTATACTTGATGACATCTCACATTTGAGTTTTAGCAATCTAGCTTGGAGAGAGTTGTTTATGGTTACGAATATCCACAGACCATATGGAAAACATGAATGTATTTTGAAACGGGGCATAGTTCCCCATCAACGCAACACATACTGTATCTGCCTTAGGTATCAAGTTATAACGTTCCTGTAATCTATCTATAGCAGGAGCACCTACCTGGCAAAGCCGACTCCTCTGCTGACCCCGTTGGCATCCCTCAGTATCCTCGTGGAGATGACGTGACCCAGGGGCTTCAGCATGTTCTCCAGCTCCTGCTCATCCATAGACACCGGCAGGTTGGAGATGTACAGGTTGGTGGGGTCCTGCTCCTGTTGCTGCAGGGCCAGGGGTTAGAAGAGTAGGGGAGGATTGATAGAGGAGATGGAGAGAGAAAAGGAGAGGGAAAATGAGAAATAATGTATCACCAACAAGTGTAGTAAGTAGGACATATGCATCATCTTTGCCTCTTGGGCTATTACATCGCAATGCAGCCGACATTCACACGCATGACGTTTGGCCTTATTGACACTCACACATTGATCTGCTCACATGCCATATGGATACACCAATAGTTTACTTTGCCTTAGGCTCTATGTGTGAGACAGATATACACAGCATGGATTTTTGTGAATGGTAAGTATAATGCCAGTGCAAGTCTGTACAGGCATGTATCCTAAACATGTAGTTGTAGTTTGTCAGGTGTCTCAGGGGTTTACACCAATAATAAGTGTTAAAGGGGACATATTATGCACATTTTCAGGTTCATACCTGTATTTTGGGTGTACAAAAGAACAGATTTACATGCTTTAATAAAAAAACATATATTTTATTTTACTTGTTACATATACTTGTTTTCACCCTATGCAAAAACACCAGTGTAGCACCTGTCTCTTTGAGCACCCTTCCCTGAAAAGCCAATTGCAAGATTACAAAGGAAGTTCTCAAGCTCTGGAAGCAGAAACTCAAATATGGGGTTGGGGGGTATATTCTAATGAGTCTGCATGTGAAATAGGAAGGGGACAAAGCTTGCAGAGTCTCATGTTTTATGACCAAGACAGCTTACCAAACATGGTTGTTTTATTTCTCTGTTTGTGGGTTAGTAGGCCCTTCTGATACCAAACTGTATCACGCACAAGCACTGAAAATAGCGAGTTCTTCCTAATATGTCCCCTTAAGGTTTAAAGTGAAGGAAAGATAGAGAGAGAAAGTTAGAAGCTGTGTAGTGTGTAAGGTACAACATCATTTTCTGTGTTGTGCCCAGAGGCTACAGCTAGCTATGTGAAGCTGCACAGCCGGTGGTGGGTTGAGCCTGAGGTAGCAGAGGGCCCAGAGAGCTCTACAGTAGAACAGCTGGAAACAGCAGCCCCAGCCCCACGAGTCAATCTGTCACTGAGCCAGGCAGCCACCAAGTACGTCAACCAGATATCCATCCATCTATGCTACATTATGTCATCCTTATCTCTAAATATGTATCTTAATTATGCTGTATGCACATCAGCACATTCTTTCTCGCATATCAAATCTCATTCAATCCATCCTCCCGCCCATGTTGTAAGTAAACCTTCCAATCAAGCAGCCGGCCAGATTCTGATCAGCTTCCAGCTCTCATTCATCACATCTCCTCTTTATCCAACACCCACATCTCCCAAGCTTTCCTGCAACAGCAGCCAGAGCCAAGCAATATTACAAAAAGGCATCCGTGTTGTGGTTTGTGGCAAGCGTAATGTGATGAGGGAATGCTGGAACATGTTGATAAGATTTACATCCACTTCAGGTATTTGTAGAGGATTCATCTTGCACCATCCAAATATGAATTTAAATTAGGGTCAGTCAATTGAGTGTATTCAACTGAAAGATAATTAGATGTGTTATTTTTCGTAGTTCTAGATCAGGGGTCGGCAACCTTTTTGATATGAAGTGCCATTTAAAAAACAACTATCAGCAGGAGGGCGGGGGAGCCTCGCTGCGGGGAAGCAGTGTGTGGACCTGTCAGCGCAACTTACATGATGCCGAATTTAACAAACACATTTAAATAATTGATTTAAACGGCATAATAATAAGGACGATCGTCCGTTCTGTGATTCTCCAGAGCACACTATGATATTAGGGTCAAGCAGAGTGAGATGAGATCGCTGTCCCTTTAAGAGAGAGAGAGAGGGGTGTGGCTTGTGCATGTGTGTTTGTGGATGGTAGAGCGACAGTGAGAGAGAACCTATGGAGAGAACGTGTGTATGTTTCTGGAAGTGAAACGAGGAAGCAGAAAAACAGAGGTCTGTGGTGTATTTTGTGAAACAAAAGAATAGCTAAATAAATGCAACGGCCTCCCAAGAAGAGCTCGCCTCTCTCCAGTCATTTAAGCTAAAGTGGGTTATTATTATTGAACCTGAAGCTTGTTGCTTCTGCCCTCCTCGACTACGGTCTGGGAGCCGACAGGAAAGTTCAACACACAAATGGCCAGTCGCCCCTTTGTAGCATATTATTTCGATGAGAGATGAGCAGATCGCCACTGGGCTTTCAACTAAATACACAGCCACGCAAAAACTGCGGCATTTGTACAGCTCCTTATGGGAACTGCAATTAGTGAAGTGCTTTCCTCCGTGGTGAAACGATCAGCACTGCACCACGGAGGAAAGCGGCAGAAAGGCACCTGGAGATAAAGAGAGCGGGGCTTCCTTCTGCAGGTAACGGGGAGACGCACCCTGGCGGCGGTCTCGTTCAGGATCCAAAAATATAATTTAAATATTTTGTACACTTATTCCACTTATTCCTAGTATGCCACTGGTTACGGTGCTGCGTGCCAATGCTGGCACGCGTGCCAGGGGTTGCCGACCCCTGTTCTAGATGTATGATTTCAGAACGCAATACATCAAAAGTAAACATCCCCTCACCCATAATAACGGATGGTTACATATTATTCTAGTTTAGATCAATAGTGTGAGCAGTGGAGGGCCTTTTAAAAGAGTATTGCCATTTGGTTAGGAAATAATCAGTGTGATGGTTGGGTTCTATTATGGGCTATTATATCTATCATGAATAACACTAGCAATTTAGCAAGACATAGATCTATAAAATGTATGTAATGACAATAAAGGCAAAGAATAATGTTAATTTCATTAGTTCAGGATTGGCCCAATTGGATTGTGCCAGATTAGTCTCATAAACCTTAGGAAGCGGCAATAAGAGAAGAAGAGAAGCAAAGGCAAGTAGAATAACTTTTGCCCAAAGTCAAAATCAAGACAATATACACAATACTTTAACACGTTTTTTAATTGCTAAACCACAATGCTACTTGTTTTCGGTTTATAGCACTACTTTAATTTGAATTCAGTTTAAGTGATCTTTTTCACACGCATATGCAGTACTGTTAACAGCATCTTCAGTGCAGATCTGTTGTCTTCTCAGTGGGGGGTTGTGGAGATACTTCAGTTGCAGCCTGCATGCAAACACCGTCTTTGAGAATCTTTACAGCCTCTCTGTGCTTCACCACAGGCAACGCTGTCTAACTCTGTCGTGTTCTGCTTTCTGTTTACGGCGGAGGAAGAGGTTAAGAAGGAAGTGCCTCCACCAGCTCCGTGCCTCCATCTGTCAGAGGAGAAGACTGGCCCCTCCCCTGATTAATTAGCTGTCTTATCTGACAGGACATGTTTGATCTGATTAAAGCCTTTGGGAGGGAGCTGGTGCCCAACCTGAAAGCGGGAAAACCGACACTCTTTCTCTTTTAACCAGGAACTCAATTAACTAACTTCAGGGCAAACTATACTGCTCTTTCCTCGGTAGGTTTGTCACATTTACGTGCTTCGGAAAGCCTTCACAAGAATTTGTATAACACAGGATTTGGAAGTGAATGAGGCTTAATTAAATCTGCCCCGTAAAAAAAATCTACTGTACACGTGTCACTCTCCCACTAAGTCCCTTTGGTGTGCAGCTGTGCTTTCCTTTGAGTTTCATCGGTTATGTGAGGCGATGTTTTTCAGGATTATGTCAAATACGCTCCATATTCCAATGCAGACAGGAGGTCTGGATCAAAGAGTTAACTGACTGACTCAGACACTGGGCTAAGCCAACGATACGAGAGTTTATGTGGCGCACGCTTTTCAATGAAAGCACTTTCTAATATAAGCATGTACAGTACTCGCGGTAATTTGTGTGCGTGGGCTAATAGTAGAGGGGCTCCGTTTGCTGGGGGATTAACGCTGGGAGGCCTCATCTACGCGCGGCCGCCTCGCTAAGTTTCCTCTTTGATGACGTTCCGCACCACAAAGCCCTAAATACCCAGATGAGAAGGTTACACGAAAGGAGTGGAATTGGGAGCATTTTGACGGGAGGTGAGATGGGCTGCCCCATTCCACAAGGAGATTTAATTTCCTTTAATGTCAGCCTTCGCACACGCTCTGCTGTCAGGCTATGAATGAAACAGTAATCGAGGTGTGTGTGCGTGTGTGTACCTGTGTATATATCCCATCCCAGAGTAATTATGCGTTTGTTCCTTCAAATCTATATAGTGTAAAGCTGCGCAGGTGTCTATGAGTCTGTGTGTCGATGCCTGTCCCAATGCCATTGACCAGTGTTGTAGATAGCTAATGGAAACGCTCCAGGCTACGCTACTGCCTTTGATGAGCATAATTCCTTCACCTTGCCACCAGGAGGACAGGATGAATCCAACTGTGTGTGTGACAGGAGGGGGGGGGGAACTGACATGTCATTTCCCGCTGACGGATGGCTCACTCGCTAGAGCTGACAGCCCTGTAGCTGTTATTTCATTTCGACACCCTGCTCTGTTTACCTCACTGTAATTTCTGAGAACATTACTATGGTAGAGGGGAGGGGGGAGTATTAGCGGAGAGGAAAAAAGAAATGAGGAGGCCAGGGCTAAACAAAAGGAAAGTACGAAGAGAAAATAGGAGTTATAGATCTCAATGCTAAAGGTGAAAGAGTGAAAAAGTAAGAAAGGCAGAGACGGAGGCAGCTGACATGACAGGCAGATATAACACATTAAAGGGAGACCTTGTTGCCTTTGACAACGCTTGAGGGGGAATAGAAACATCAGGTGCAAGAAGTCTCACGTTCCGCCTATGGGGCTCTCAGGGCTGTTTCCATTTAACTGATAAAAGTTAGACGGATATATGTGTCTTGACTGGGGGCTCCATCTAACGCCATGTTGAGGCTCGGAGCTGCCCTCACTCTCTTTGTCAATCTTTTCTCACCCCATAACCGCGATGTTCCTTCACTTCATTCTGTCCGTCTTTTCTCCCGTTTCTAAACCACTCAGCTCTCCATAGCCTCTCTTTCTCCAACTCTTTCCAAAGCACCCTCCTGCCGTCTCTATCCTGTTTCTCCCGAGACG